CTAATTCTATCACTGCAGGTACTTCCCCATTCTCTTCTTCTTGTAATTTAGCTAGATATCCTATTCAAAATTATATCACCTATAATAGATTAAGTACTTCTCATTCTTGCTTTATTGCTGCTCTCTCTAAAATTACTGAACCCAAAACATACAAACAAGCTGTCAAATTTCCTGAATGGCAAAATGCCATGTTAACAGAAATTCAAGCTCTTGAAAAGAACAAAACTTGGATTTTAGTTACTCCACCTTCAAATCAAAATATAATAGGTTGTAAATGGGTTTTTAAAACTAAACTAAAACCTGATGGTTCTTTAGAAAGATATAAAGCAAGATTAGTTGCTAAAGGTTATACTCAAGAAGAAGGTTTTGATTATTTTGATACTTTCTCTCCTGTTGTCAAAATTACTACTGTTAGAATTATTTTAGCTATTGCTAGTGCTAAAAACTGGTTCTTACATCAATTGGATGCAAACAATGCCTTTTTACATGGTGATTTAAATGAGGTTATTTTTATGCAGCCTCCTCCAGGATATTTAGCTGCTACTGACAGCAGGGTCTGTAAACTCACTAAAAGCCTTTATGATCTTAAGCAGGCTTCTAGACAATGGTTCTGTAAGCTTTCTGATTCTCTAATTACCTTTGGTTACACACAATCTAAAGCTGATTTTTCATTATTTACTAAATCTAATAACATTTCTTTTACTGCTCTTCTAATATATGTAGATGATATAATTCTTGCTGGAAATAACATGGATGAAATTAATGCAGTAAAAACTTTTTTAAATAAAAAATTTACTATTAAAGATATAGGTGAACTAAAATATATCCTAGGTATTGAAGTGGCTAGATCTGATAAAGGTCTAAATCTTTGCCAGAGAAAATATACTCTTGATATTCTTAATGAATATGGTTATTTACAGTCTAAACCTTATACTACTCCAATGGATCCAAAACTAAAATTTTCTAAAAAGGAAGGTACTGTTTTGAATGATCCTAAACCTTATAGAACCTTAATTGGCAAATTATTATACTTAACTGTTACTAGACCCGATGTTGCTTATAGTGTTCAAGTTCTTAGTCAATTTCTTTCTTCTCCAACTGACATTCATATGAGTGCAGCTCATAGGATTCTAAGATATCTTAAGAAATCTCCAGGTAAAGGTCTCTTTTATTCATCTATTTCTGATTTTTGTATTCAAGATTATACTGATTCTGACTGGGTTGCTTGTATAGACACTAGAAGAAGTGTTTCTGGTTATGCTTTTTATCTTGGTAAATCTTTAATTTCTTGGAAATCTAAAAAAACAACAAGTAGTAAGCAGATCTTCTACTGAAGCTGAGTATAGAGTTGCTGCCAATGCAGTTTGTGAAGCTCAGTGGTTATACTATATTCTTTGTGATTTACATATTCAGTTTGCTTTACCCATTACTATTCATACTGATAATAAATCAACTTTTCATTTAGCCCATAATCCTGTCCAACATCAAAGAACAAAACATATAGAATTAGATTGTCATTTAATTAGAGAAAAAATTAATTCTGGTTTAATATCTTTGACTCATATTAAGAATAATTTTCAACTTGCAGATATCTATACTAAAGCACTTGGAAATCCCCTTTTCAATGAATTTGCAGTCAAGATGAACATGATGGACATCCATGCTCCTCTTGAGGGGGCGTATCAAGAATAAACTATTGGGCTGTTTTTCATTCTTTTATATTTTGGGTCTTTATTTCCTATATTGGGCCTTAGTTCTCTTTAAGCATGTATTATATATACTCTGAACAGTGTAATAGGCAGAGTTAACGATTCACATACCTATTTTTTTTTCTTCCGCATCCAAGAGCTCTGCGTTCTTCATACTGCCTTTCTCACATTCAGATTAATTCTTCAATTCTATTGTCAATAACTTCTCACATGGACCTATATTGCCTTATACGTCGTCCAAACTTATCTTTCGTTAACTAGCTCAATTAAATGTAATAGCTTGAAGATTCGAAATAATAATACTTCAGCCGATCCAATGTTCCTTCAAACATAAGGTCTTAGGAAACGGAAATAGCATGTTTTCATTTTAAGATTATTTAATTATTATTATATTACATAAAAATCCACGATGTTATGTTTAGAGTGGACGAATGGTCTATTTGTATTCATTTCAAAATTAATTAAATATAATTAAGTTTATATGCTCTATAAAATTAAACTGTACATAATACTTCTAATTTTTAAATCTCACACCCCTCATCCTCATTTAAAGATGTTACGCAATGTGACTATCCATTTGTAGCATTTTTCAAATTTCATTTTTTTTTAAATTTTAAATATTTATGAGCATCTTAAAACCTACCACGTTTAAGAGTTTTTAAATCTCAAAGGCATCAATGTTGTAAGCGAGATACTAAAAACTTAAGTATTGGGCACGCATTGTCGCGCAGCCAAATGCTAGTAAATATGATGAAATACTGACTTGGACAATCTAATACGTAGTACATTTTGGATACGGCACTCTCACTTTTCTATGGGTATCATAGTAATCACCTTAACAGAGGTGGCTTGAGCATTTTGGAGGCCTTAATTTTTTAACTATTATATTTATGAATTAGTAAGAAATAATTTCAAATATACAACTGAAATAATAGTAATGGACAAAAATGTGACATAATAATTTTTACTAATGTTTGAAAAATGTTTCAAAATTGCATTAAATGGTCAATTTTTAATGCTCAAGCTTCCTACGAGTTTAATCCACACTACACAGTTCACACGTTGTTTCAGCTAAAACCAGCTTCCAACTTTCTGTAAAATCATTTGTTGTTCTTGCTTTGTTTCCGTTCACCAGAACAACCGATTGTGTGCTCATAGAATTGTTCATAGCCATCATATCCTAATAGACCATCGTTGCAACGCTCCTAGCATCGTGGGATGCAGCGAATAGTTTTTAAGGAAATTGTGCATGACACAAGCTTTGACTTTCTGTCGCATCTTGTTTCTATTTTCTTGGCTATTTACTTTATTTAATTTCTTTATTTTTTGATTAAACACACCAATTTACCCTACAACTAACTATAATGGTATTCAAATTTTAAATCATAGTGACTATAAAATTTAGTCATAGTACTCCCTCCGTCCTAAATTGAGTTGCAAAGTTGGTTTTTTGGGTAAAAAAGGGTCATGCTTGTTGTACAAAAAATGTGTATACAAATTGTACATTAACTGTGTACACAGACAACTAAAGGATTTTTACATCAAATACTGTCTTTTTTTTAAACGAATTACCTGCGTACACTGGCAATTATGGGGATTTTGTGTACATTTTGTGCGCAACTCTTGTACACTAAGAATCTTCCTTATTTATATACTCTTAATTGTATGTTACATACACCTTTTCCCGTATCTCAGTCATATGAAGCAACAATCTACTTTTGAGATATTTAGTCGATCAACTTTAACTTGATTTATGTGTGGCTTTGACTCCGTGGCCATGACGTTGGCCTTCTCTTTAGCCATGTCACTTGTGACGTCCTAATCCTTTAATTCCATCTTTAAATTGACTTGAATACTCCATACTTTTAGGCATTTTATAAAAATAATCCTTATTTGAAAAGATCACAACAATAATCTCAATTCGTTACTGCTTTTTCAATCATAATATTAGGACAAGTGATTTCAATTTGTTAACTTAAAATTGTTCTTGAAGATGGATTTGCCCTTGAAAAAATATATACAAGTATAACACACGGAATTTAATTTTCCGCATTTTTTAAACTACATGGGGTAATGCGCTGAATTTATATATCACGAGCGAGTTTAGTGCATTAAACCCTATCGAGAGTTTCTTTCATTCTTATAATTAGTAGAATAAAAATAATGGTAAACAAATAAACAACATACACCGGAAATGTAATGATAATGGTACATGCTGTTCTCAATTTCTTCCTAGTGTTGGCTAGAAATCCTGCTTTGCAAGAGTCACAATAGAAGCAAAGCTGGAATTGGTCATTGTTTCACCTGGCACACTCAGAAAATCAATGCTTAGAAGATTAGAAGGGTACTCCTATTAAGTGATGGACTCGGGTTGGGTAAACCGGCCCAGGTAAACCGGCCCGTAACCGGTCTGAGCGCGGTACAGTTTCGGCCCGGCCCGGCCCGGTACCTGGGTCATAATCCGGTTCGGGCCACCCGGCCCGGTAGTGTTATGGGACGGTTCCCGGGCCTCCCAAACCATGAACCGGCCCTGCCGGTTCGGGCCCGGTTCGGGCCATTTTTTTTTTCAAAATTTGAAAAATGTAAATGGGTTGGGCTGGGTGTTTTGGACGGGTTTGGAGTGGGGGTGGGGGTGGAGGGGGTAGGAACTAGGAAGTAATTAGAAAAAAAAGGTAGCCGGCCCGAGGCCTGGCCTGAACCGGATCCGGTTGCTACCTGAGCCGGTTCCGAGCCTCATGATTCCCAAAAAAGCCCGGTTAGGCCCAGCCCGAACCGAGTCCATGCCTACTCCTATTCAGGGAAAAGTTCTAGGTTTTACTCTTATTAAGGGCAATTACTTAAGTTTTAAAGAACGGAGGGAGTATTTATTTTAAGGTTTTGCAAACACACACCTAATTAGTGTAAAAGGAATTTGTGTGAATCAAATGTAAACTTAAATGAGATCAACACCATTTATTTTCATTATTTTTTACTAAAACATCATTTAGTTTTCATATTCGGTAATACAGTTAAGTAAAATGCTGCTCTTCAGAGGGGTTCAATTGTTCAAGTACAACAAAAAGTTTAACAAAACATCATTGTTTTGACGATTTTTGGTTGCTTATTATGACAGATTAAAGTAATATGAACATTAGTTGTCTACATTGTATGCATGGGTGTAAATGTGTAATTATCAATGAATGTAGATGCGGGTGTAAAACTTGTATAACTTCCACTTTTTTAGAATCTTTGCAAGACTAACCCTATTTTTGTAATATTAGTTTTCCTTTAGTTGAATCAGGCTTTCCTTTAGTTTTAACAAACCCTAAAATTTTATTACTCTCCAAATTGTGTTATAATATAGCATCTTTGTATGATTAATCATTGAATCCTTTATTCTCAGTTCACACGGCAAAAAATATGCAACAGGCTGAAAATGTCCTGGTGTGTTGTGTGCTGTGATTTTTACACAGCAGACCGATAACACCAACTCAACAAAACATAGACTCACAGGTTAGAAATTTTGTTTAAAAACAACTTCAATGCTAACACCAAACTCCCGAACAAAATTCAGCTCTGAACTCATCAACCTCATCCCAACTTCCCTTTCTGCTGATGTTTGATACCAGAATTCCTCATTACACTCATGAAGAAGCCTCACCAAAACTGTGGATATGAAGTCTAGTCAGTGACCACTCACTTGCTGGAACCTATGGCCTCTCCGACAATTGAATAATTAATCACACATGTCAGACTGGCATCATTGTATCTTGAAGATGTCTTTTAGTTTACGAAGAAGCTTCCATTCTTCAATAGAAAGATCTTTCTGCACAATTTAAAATGGAGTAGAAAAGCATTAGTTTCAGTGCTACGGATGATTAAAAGAAGAAAAAATTTAAAAAAATGGCTATCTTAATACCCTGAAATTTTCCTTGAGTATGTCAATCGATCTCCTAGAAATCTTGCTGATGAGCTCGTCTTCCATATCAAAATGCCTCCCAAACATCTTCTGTTGCTCTTCAGAGTTGGATCCAATTATCTGCCAAATGTGCCAAATGAGTCAAGTAGAATGTAAATAAAGGTGGAACATGTACAATGCAAGTAGAGAGATACCGACTCCAATACTACTTTCAACAAAAAATGAAGGATTCACACCTTGATGGCGACCATTTGCCCTTTCTTTGCAGAATCTACAGGTTTATGGTTGTTTTCAATAGACGCAATCCGACCAATCTCAATAAAGTCCCTCGAAGGAATACAGATTGGAGTTCCAACCTGACAAAGCCAAGTTTATACTTCGTATCATGAATTCACAACTAATGACATGTTCTTAATGCACTTTTAGCTGAATAATAATAGTAATAATAATAATAGTAATAATACTCCATCCGTATTGAAATGTTTGCTATAATAGGGTTTGACACAATATTTAAGGGATAAGTAGCAAGGGAAATGAGTAGTGTAGAAAAAGTAAGAGAGAGGTTGGAAAGGTACGAAAGAGAAGATAAAAGGTAGAAAATTTCAGGGTAATTGAGTATTTTTAAAGGCAAAACTTACCAAAAAGGGAAAGTGTAACAAAAATTAAAATACATCCCAAATATGAAAGTGTAGCAAACATTTCAATACGGAGGGACTAATGCCTTTTTGAAGGAGCTTTTAGTTACCCAAGCAAACATCTGCTTCATTAGTTACATGCAAAGCTAAGTTTCACAAATTATATCTAAATCTAGATGCATATAATCATAATACGATAAAAGTGAAGGAAATGTTAGTTACCCGAGCAATGCCTTCAAGAATATCAACACCCAGAACGATAGGATCCTTTTTATTGAAAACACAATTAGGTACAATCTTGAGAACACAGGGAAAGACAGCTTCCTCAGCAACTTCCTTCTTCTTTTCCTCCTTGAGATTATCAATGTAGGCTTTAAACTGATCGAACAAATGATATATAATATCAGCAATGAAAATCTTTACACCATATTCATCTGCAAGTTCGCGGGCTTCTTGTGTGACTTTAACATCAAAGGCAAGGATTGTTGCATATTCTTTCTTCTTCTCAAGCATGACGCTGGCTTTCATGACATCCTTTTTGTGTACGGGTCCTATTCCAATACCACTAACAGGTATGCTGACATCTGGACTCTTCAGAAACTCCAGCAAGGCTTCCAATGACCCAAGTGTAGATGCCTGGACATAAACACCCTCCCCACTCTTATCAATCCTGCTCATCACTGACCTCATATCTTCCATGGCTACTTCTTTTATGTCATCCACATCATCATTCGGTCCCACAACATACAAACTAGTGCCTGCAATGGCATGTTCAAGTCCCTGCACAACGACTCACCATAGCCAAGACAAAAATTACTCTTTCAGTAATAGATGGGCATAAGCAACCCACTTGTGAATATTTCCTAATTATATATATAGGGTGCATCATCATCATCATCATTTTCATTTACCCCAGTGCCGCAAAGGCTCCCACCTACGGTGGGGTAAGGGGGGGTCGGATGTAGACAGTCTTACCCCTGTACTAAAGCACAGAGAGACTGTTTCCGGATGACCCATAGTGAAATCACGTCCAAAATTGCAGTTCCAATAAAATGTGTTGTTCCCGTGCAAAGTGCAAACGGTTGTCCTTATTGTCATGCACGGTGCACTTTTGGCGTCAAACGATGCACTTTTAGAAATGATGAATTTTTTTGACTTAATTACGAATATGCCACCGTGTTTTTGATCATTTTTAATGCATTGTAGGAATATTTAGAGCCATTTGATCTTAAATTGGATGCAACGGATCTATTTTTACTGTTCATATGAAGTTTACCTTTTATTTGAACTCATCCCTATAAAGCATGCATGCATACATGATACATATGCATCTCCCTTCGAAAATCAAGAAACTTAGATACAACCATGAGGACATGACTAGACACAGCATTTGTGTCAAATCAACACCAGTTATTTCCAACTTCCATCGGGTTTAGAAATTTGACAGCCCAAAAACATGACTACGACATACTTTTAGCGTATGATTTAGTGTTTCAGTCTTCCAAGGTATATGAACTATTAAGAATTGAAGGAACTAGCCATGCTTGGATGACTTTTATATGGAAACCTTATGTTCCTTCCAACTTCTCTTTTATCATGTGGCTAGCTTTTCGTAATAGGCTAGCAACATCTGATAACTTGGGATATCTTGATTTGGTTAATGTTTGTCATTTTTGTAAGGGTGGCTCGGAAAATGTGCCACACCTATTCTTTGAATGTTGTATTACAGGGCAGGTTTGGAAGGAAATCATAACATGGCTAGGAATGAAGAGAGAAATGACATCGCTAAGGAGTGCCGTGAAGTGGATACTGAAAGAATGCAATGGGGCACATATTAGAGCTAAAGCCATACGGATAGCCTTTTGTTATACCACATATTGGATATGGAGGATACGAAATTCCCTACGTTTTGATGGAGCTACTTTCAAGATGGAAGATATGATCACACATATCAAGTTCATGGTGTACAAAGTGTTATATTCACTATATTCGTTTGATATGATCACCTTTTGAGACTAGTTATCAGTTATCACCTATTTTTTGCTATGGGCTTCATAGGTATTTAGATTGCGTTTTGAGGTGATAGGGCATCCTAGCTTGGGATAGCCTACATTTTTGTCCATATGTATATGATGTACAAAACTACTTTGGATGATTCTATATATATTTACATGTTATCCAAAAAAAAAGTGATTTAGTGTTTCAGTTGGAGAACACTGCCAAAACATCAAGTAGATTGCAGCATTAACTTTCCTATTGTTTATATTATTTAGATTTCGACGTATCTTTTACATGTTTGGAAATCACAAGTTTATACAAAAAAACTTCAGTAGAAAAGACATTTTTCTATTAGTATCTATATCACAGCGTAGTTTGAAATTACATATACCTGAGCAGTAATCTTTATGCCCTGTGCAGCTTTGATTTCTTTATGGTGTAAATATGTACCCTGCAGACAGAAATAGAATACACTTGATAAGAATGTAAGATGCTCGATGTAGCACACATTAAACTAAGGCTACATACATGGGCACTTCATTTGATATTTATGTGTGTGTTTTTGTGTTCTTAATCTAAGTTGGATTGTTTCGTTTTGGCTCCCTACTGCCGTCCGGTGAACAATTTCTTCTGGGTAAATCCATAATTTAAAGCGCAAGCAAACATACAGAAATAAAAAACAATTGGCTAGTGAGGTATAAGTAACGTCAAATGTATATATGACCACAATTAGAATAAAAAGAACTAGAGCAATTGACACCAACCTTCACTCGGAGCTCTTTCATTGGGTGAGGAGTCAGTAATGCCCGAATGGAGGTCACAATAGGCTCTCCCTTAAACACAAAAAACAATGCTTAGCTGGAAATAAAGGTACAACAAAAAATTCAAACTGTAGACCAAGATACATCATGTTTTACCTGCGTGCCACAAACAACTATTTGGTCTCCTTCATGAAGCACACCATTAACAAGCACTACATCAATGGTAGTTCCATGGCCTTCAATAACCTTTACCTCCAACACAGTACACTGCAAAAGGGCGACAAAAATTAAGAGCACTACATTCAAGATAGAATTCCAAGTGACTCAAAGAAGAGATTAGGAAAGCGTGCCTGGACTTCATTGCTAAACGTAAGCCTCTCAGTCATTGTCTTTTGAGTCCATTGAACAAGTAATAGCAATAAGTCAGGAATACCTTCACCACTGTTGATTCACAAAGACCAAAACATCAGTATTATATATATATATATAAGTTGTTAATATGGATTTGGGAAAGGAAAACATTAACACAAGGCAGAGATGAAAATTTGTTAGATTAAAAAAACTAAATATTAATTAATGATGCACCCAAGAACAGGAGATTGAGTAAATAATCACCTGATAGCACTAGTAGGAACAATGCTGGATGTATCTTTACCCATATCTTTGTTTTTATAGTACAATTCCGTATTCACTCCTTGCTCTTTGAACTGTGTGACTATCTGTAATTTTCATGTGTTTATTGTAAGTTAAGAAAACCGATACAGATTCAGGGGGCTGGGAGTATTTGATGAGTACAAGTAGTTTGTACATTACCTGAGTGAGCCTTTCCTTAAATTCTCGCTGAACATCAAGATTCTGTTGTTTCATCGCCTTCTGAATAGGTGAGTTCTTGCAAACTTTCCATCCATAAAGCCTGTCAACCTGATACCAAAGAATAAAAAAAATGCATACTTAATATAGTCAAAAGAAACCAAGGGAAAAGGATGGCCTCATTTCAATAACACTCACCTTATTTAAAGCAATGATAAACTCTGTATTCCTCATCTTCAAAAGATTGAGCGACTCAATTGTTTGCTGCTCCAGTCCATGCATTATATCCACGACCAAAATTGCAATATCACACAAGCCTGACCCTCTAGAGCGGAGATTAGTGAATGACTCGTGCCCTGGGGTGTCAATGACCAACAAACCAGGGACCTTCAGTGTAGCATCCGCTTTTAGCTCTCTAGTTCTCTCTCTTATATTCCCCGCAGGAAAGTAGGTAGCACCAATCTGCTGAGTAATCCCTCCTGCTTCACCTTCTTGGACATTAGTGCCTCGTATACAATCAAGAAGCTTGGTTTTCCCCGTATCAACATGGCCCATAATGCAGCAGATAGGAGAACGAAGGTCCTTTTCACTTTTGTCAGGAAGTGCAACAGGTTTCTGTGCTTCCATTCCTTCTATGCCTTTTTTGTGCTTACTCTCCGGCACTGTCTCACTTTTCTTACTGTTCTCATTTTTAGGAACTCCCTTGGAAGCAGCTGAAGAATCACGAACAGCTGCCTGCTCAAGCTTCATCTCTTTTCTGACCAAAGCTTTTGGTTCTTCATCTGCTTCCTCATCAGAAAATGCACTTTTACCAGGCAGTTTTAGATCAGCTTCATCCCAGCTTTTTGCATCCCACTCCTCATCGTCTTCTTCTTCTTGAATTCCATTTTCTTCCACATCAGCAACTTCTGACTTGTCTTCTGTAATCTCTGATTTGTCCTCCATAATCTCTGACTTGTCCTCTGTAGTTTCCACTTCTTCACCAACAATCTCATTTGCATGAGATTGTTGCTTTGGCTTCTTTGTTTGATACTTCGGTCGTTTAGTTCCCTCTTTAGGCATCTCCCCAGACGGGAGTGGTAACCCCCCTGCATTGGCTAATATTTGTTTTCTCATCAGTTCTAATCTGCGAGCTTCTTCCTTCTGTTTTCCAGTCAGCAACTTCCCCTCTTGTTTCTTCTTCAAGAGCTTCTCCTTTTCCCTCTCCTTCTTCAGGCGTTTTTTTTCCTCTGCAAGCCTTTCTAACTCCTCTTGCCGGAGACGCTCTTCTTCTTCCTTCCTCAGCTTTTCTTCTTCTTCCCTTTTTTTCTTTTCTTCAGCTTCCTTGAGTCTGGCAAGTCTCTCTTGCATCTCCCTGACATGTTTAGGAACTTTTTTATCAGCTGCTTTACTCTTTCCGTCAGCTTTTGCCTCTTCCTGCTTCTCCTCAACCACAGCTGCTGCTGCCTTTTTCTCCTTTTCTTTCTCCTTCTTCTTTTTCTTCTTCTTTGCAGCTGCTGACTCCACCACTCCCTCCACAGTTTCTTTCTCAGGAATGTCTTCTTCTGCTTCACAAAGATTATTATCTTTTTCCTCTTGTGGTTCGGATGTTGGCAGTCTCTCTCCAAGTTCAGCTAAAATTGTGTCAATTTCATCATCTTCAGTTTTTTTTCCACCCTTCTTTTTCTTTGGTTTACCTTTTGGTTCAAGTTGTACCTGTAACGACGGTAAGGTCTCTCCGGTAGAAGACGGAACAGGAACAGGAGCAGAGGAAGGAATTGATGGACCCTCACCAAGCTCTGCTAGAATCTTGTCAATCTCATCCTCGTCTTCTTGAACTGTTTTTTCACCCTTCTTCTTCTTCTTGGACTTGGCCTTTGAAACTCCAGCCATGTCTTCTTGAACCTGAATCTTGTTTTTTGTTCCTGCTGTCTCTTTATCCCTTTCAGCTAGACTCAGTTTTTCAAAATCATGAACTGCATCAGGTGCCTCATCTACGGGATCCTCCTCCTCAAGCATGTTGAAGGTAGTTTGATTCTTCTTTTTAGATGACTTCTTTTTACCAGAAAAAAGAATCACAGATGCATCGTCATCCTGAGCCCTAACATCCTCTTCTAGTGAATCGGTATCCAGCTTAGCAAAATTAGCATTGTCATCACCAAAACTGAAAGGACTGCTCTTTTTTGACGATTTCTTTTTCTTTCCGGTGAAAGTGATATTAGGAGCTTCATCGTCTTCCTCTTCATTAAGCTCCAAACTCTCCTGTAAATCATCTAGGCTGTCAAAAGCAGAAGCTGCAAACACACTTCTACCTGCTTTCTTACTAGATTTAGATGGCTTCTTTTTCCCTGTGAATGTAATGGAAGTTATTTCATCCTCTGCATTACTGTTATCATCGTCACTATTCCCCAATTGCTCAATCTCATCAAGAGTAGATTCTGTGGAAACACTTCGACCTGCATTCTTTTTCTTCTGATTCCTCATTTTTTACTGAAATAATTCAACTTGATACTTTAATGCAAAAGATACATCTACTGTTATCAATATTACTTAATGTATAAAAGAAAAAGACAATTCGTACAGTGTTCCACCTAAAGAGCTCCACAGGAATAAATACACCTTATCCTAAAAAATAATTCTACAAACAATATGAATAATAATGTAATATTGGCGTGCTGCATTGCTGCGTGCTTGCGCCTGACGGAGGTGAAGCGGCGAAGGGAGTCGGCGACTTGACGGAGGCGTTCGACACTTCGACCGTTTGGGGATGATAGATGTCGATGGATCAGACATCAACAGATTAGACCATGCAATATCATACTAGATTTAGAAAATAGTAAACTATACATATATAAGACATATACCAGAACACAATTACACATGTCATACCTGATCTAGATAGACAAGGTCAAACTAGATCAGATGTTTTTTAAGCTTTTATCTATGCAATATTGGTGTCATATGAAAGATTATAAAAATTATTTAATTTGATAAATTTTATAAAAATAGAGCAAAAATGAAAAGGTTAAAAAATTGTGCAAAACAATAATTTGCCACATGGCAACAAAAAAATGGATAAAGAATCAAATTTCAATAAGTATGTGTGAACTGTGATTCCGTGAAGCTCCTACTCTTAGGTGGCAATTTTAGTTTATTTAAAAAATAAAAAGGGCAAGTCAGTCTAACAAAAGTTCCATGAAGTAATGTTGGGGGTGCGTAAAGCAACTCCCTGTTCATTTAGGCGTGTACGAAAATAATTTAATTATGAACTGGTGATCACGTTTTTGGTTTATCGGTCTTATCAATCATTTTTTCCGTCACATACATGACTTTTGATTTAGTACGCTGCATTTTGTATAATCAAAATACGTAAAGTTGGAGTTACTTTTCTGATTGAATTAACTAAGTTACTATATAGAACGATTTACACGTGTAGACAAGGGCGTAACTATGATCAAAAGAATGTATAATTATTTTTAGTGCGCAAAGATTTTGTGAATTTGATAAATAATGTAATAATAATATAGAAATAGCATAAATGTAAAACTAGTTAAATAATTTAAAAATGTTAAAACAAAAAAATAAAAATCAGAAAAACCAAAAAAATTAATTGAAAATGTAAAATAAAATAATTTATAAAATGTAAAAACCTTTTAAATAGATGTAGAATAGACAAATAATTTCAAATTTTCACAACTATAGACTTTGACATTTTGAAATTTTTCACAATTTTATATATGTTTCTTCAAATTTTAAAAACCTTGTAGAGTTTTTTAATATAAAAACCTACTATTACAGGTCCAAAACTGAATAAATTGCCAAGTTGATCAATACTTTAAAGTAGGCGTACTCATATGATATTTTTTTAGTACAGAGGCATAAGTGATAGATTGAAAATAATAGAAGGACTTATTTGACCATTTTCTCTTTTAATAATGAACCCCAAGATTGATTTATTGAGTCCGTCACTCGCTAGTTCATAACTTCAACCCATCCTGACCTTGCTTCGTAAAAGTGTAAAGCAGTAGTTAGCATTTAGCAAGTGGGATGGTTCATTCCGAAAATGTGTCACTGAATCCATATTTTTGTTTCGCGCATTAACTTGAGTGCCACCTATCCCACGCACTATCAATGAGCACGGGCAGATCAGAAATCTACAAAGGGGTGGGCTGAGAATAAAATTTGAAGACACATGCATAATAATACGTAAAGTCGTCAACACTTTAAATATTCATCAAAACATCATTTAAGTTGTGCCCTACGCGGCTTCAAAGTTTAAAATTCATCAATAATATAGAATCTACATCTATTAATGCAAAAAGACAGAGGCAGTCCCAAATTTGAGATAGTTTGGATTTCAGGGATTTGGTCTTGTGGAGGAACTCCCTTCACCAGTTTGATGATTCACTTTCAGAAAGAATGACGGAATTAACTTTTTTCCTTTCTTGGCAATATGTTCATTAATCAGTACTCATTCTAAAAAAAACATTTTGAATATTGGTATGAATTAAAATACTTCTATAAAATTAAAACTAATAAGAAAAAACAATAGTTGTATATAAAACTAATAGTATTCCCAATTTCAAAATTCAATTGAAAATTTTAATTCTTTCTCACATGTCCACACAATAAATAAATCAATCTATGTTCTTCAATTGTATAATAAATAAATCATTCTCTAATCTTTAATTCTATATTTAATCATTATAAATTTATAATGAATAAACACAATTTTGTGATGAACTGAGAAATTCAATTAATAATCAAATCGATTATCTAACCCTAAAAATAACAATACACAATAACCCTGAAAAATTCAATTGATAAAAGTCTAAAAGAGTATTAGAAATTCAGAGCTAGAGTATACCTGGTCACCCAGAGGCTGGAGCTCAGGAGCTACAGGCAGAGCGGAGAGCCGGAGAGAAAGGACGGCCTAGTGGGAGACGGCGTCCGGCGCCGCGGCTGGTGGCTGCAGGTCGGCTGGTGTTCGCAGTTCACAACGTCTTCAGTCTTTGTCGTTTCGTCGCAGGCTGTCAGGCTCCTCTTCGACCTCCGTTCTTCAATCTTCGCGTAAGGACTAGGCCGCAGGTGAGTGGATTAGTGGAATAAGTTGGACACTTGATTAGGTTTGGCTGGGCTGGCAATTAATTTTGGGCTGATAATCAAACCAAGACCTATGTTAATAAAATAAATAAATAATTGGGCTGGGCTTGAGCCCACCTCTGCCCTCGCAATGAACCGCCCCTGTCAATGAGGGCCGTTAATAAGTCGAGCCAAGCCCAAACACCCAAAGGTCGAGTTAAGACTCTTGTTCAGTAATAGTGGTGTTCGGGTTCGAGCTAAAAACGCTCGTTGAGCTTTACAAATGAGACTCGTGTTCAGCTTGATAGGTGTTCAATGTTTGAACCGACCGCTCGATAAGTTTCATAAATATACTTGAATTTAATTTTTTTAAGTGATGCTCGTTAATCGACGCGTACTTGAATTATTCGACAAGTATTCGATTCGTTAATAATGATATGTTTATTTGATATTTAACGTAAGTTATTCCAAGTTTAATTTTTAATTAACCTTGTTAGTTTATATATTTACAACTACAACCTAAGTTATTAATAAATCTAGGTTCACCTCATATAACTTATCAAGACCCGGAAAACCCCAATATCGAAAGGGGTTTACTGATGTTGTTCTCGCATAAAGTATTTTTTTCCCATTTGTTCCCATTATAACCCTTGCCAAGCTTCCCATTATTTACATGTACCCTACCTCTATCAATGTGTTCTTTTCTACCGCCATCTTGACCTTCATTCTAGCACCATCTTGTGAATATCTTGCCAACTTGGTGCTCATTTGGTAGCCATGATTTTTGGCTTTTCGGGCTTATAAGTCAATTTTTTCACCAAACATATAACTTTTGGTTTTACCAGCTGAATTGTGTCATAATAAAAAAAGTAAGGTTGGAGTTACTTTTTTGGCTCTATCGGCTGAAGTTATTGTAGAAGACCATTTTAACTATTTTTTCATATAATTTTTTTTATTTTAATAATAAAATGTATTTTAAATTATTATTTTTCAAAAATCAACACAATCGGCCAATGCAACCATATCAGCCGCCCAGAACTTCATAAATTTTGGCAAAATCAGTCAATACAGCCGATTTGGCAATTACCAAACGGGCTCTTCATCTTCTGAATTTGCTGCCAACAACTTCTCTATTATTCAGAGCTTCATTGCAACATCAGGGTTTTCTCTTCCTCTGTTCTCCTCTATTCTTCTTACGTCATTGATTTTCTCCGTCGTTACTCACCAGGTATTTTTAATCTCTTTTCATGGGTTGTGCTACTTGAATTACATATGAACTTACAATAATGTTGTTGATTTACTTGATAAGGATATATACTTCTTGTAATATTCTTGATTTACATATGGTTTACATGTGATTATGTGAACTTGCTGCAATATTGTTGATTAACTTGACTGAGATTATATATGTGTGCCTTATGTACAAATGCATATGTGATGCATATTAGCTGTTTATAAAATGTTTGACTAAGGTTGTGTTTGGTGTGCTAGTTCAGCCCATAATGGGCTGAAATTTATTAAGTCCAGCTAATAATTATTTAAGTAGACTTGTTTGGGTAAAAGTCTAAAGTGAGCCGAAGGTGGAAAAAGTGGGCTGAATTAAAATGTTATTGGACCAAGCGTTTAACTCCAACTGATTGTTCCGATCCCTAAACTATCTTGCGCGCTTATATATGACATCCTTGGCGGCAGACAGTGTCATCATCGATCCTTTCCTTCACTTGCATTAAACATCCCTTCAACACCAAAATTCTTCACTGCTCTGAGGTATGGTTCATCCTTCTCGCCGATTCTCCTTCTCAGGTTTCTACTTTTTTTCTTCTTCTCAGGGTTCTTCTTCTTCTTCTGATGTTTTCTATATTTAAATTATGTGTGCATCGTATCACGGTTCTCAATGTCGTCTTGGGGGCCAGTTAGGCCAGGCAGATGCTTGGGGCCTCCGAAGAAGAAGTTGTTAGTAGTATTTTGTATAAATTATTAAAAATTGGAAAAGCTACACCTGAGGCACCGGCAAATTGGAAATCAATTGGAGATGACTGCCGCAATTCCCAATTCCAGTTTCACATCTTCTATTCTCTATTTCTCTATTCAGTGGTTGTGTAAAATCGAGTAACGAGTTAAAGACTAAAAGCCTAAATGAATGGCATCACTGTATCTTGAAGTTTGGATTCTCTAGGTCTCAAATAAAGATTTATACTCTATTAGGATAGGGAATAAATTAATAATTACTGAATATTTGAATGCAATTGAAGGTCTAAACTCTAAAGTTAAAGTTATGGAGACCAAAGTTATGAGTACTGATTATAATTTATAATCATGAAATATTTTGCTGGTGCTAATATAGAATTTGAAATATTGAAGTAAAATTTACTCCTTCCGTCCTTTAAAACTTTGTCAGACTTTCATTTTTGGTTGACTCATTAACTTTGTCGGTTTCCCTTTTGGTGCACAAATATTGTATTTGTCAATTTTAGATTTTTATTAATTAATTTGTTTATAATATTTGCATCATCTATAAATGTGTGTATATTATCATGAAGAACAAATGAAGTTTTATGGGACTGAAGAAGTATCTTCTTTACATTCACATTATATGGTACTTTCAATACGTTTTGTTTCTCATATGGTTGTTTTATTCAATTTATCTAAGTTTAGTGACATTTATGTTCTTATATTTTTCAGTTTTGCTTCATCTTTATTGGTTCACAGCAACATCGTTTTGTACATATACAATTTCAAGTTCCTAGCATGCTATTCGATATCTATCCCATCTTGTTTATATGTGATTATTCATACGGCGTATTAGATTAGTATGTTTATATGTGGCCTGACTTATAATGAAGTTACTTTAATTTTGTCTTCAATTATTTCGGAGCACCCTATCCCCCAGGGCTGCTCTATACCAACTGATCCTTTCGCAACATTTCACTTTCTGTAAAACCTATTTCTATTTCTCATCCTATAAGTTGAACTTTTGTAAACTGTAACGACCAAATTCTATGCTTCTGTTTTAATCAATTCAGTTCAATGGGAAGGGAACTCCCAGAAACCCACTCTTCACCGCTCAATTCTCCCGATCCTCTTAATATGTAATTGGGGCTCCTGGTAATATTACTGACATCTCGTGTCACGCCCCGGACCTAGCCGGACACGTCAACAACCCGCCGTACAGTACGAATAGTCAACCGCAGTCCAACTCATCCATACTATACAAGGCGTCATGAATACCATTCACACATAGTACATCCATAAACAAACATAATGTAAAACATGCATTTAAAACAGCGGAAGCATTTAATAAAGATGTCTTAGCCACACTTCGGCAAACATGGGCATACAAGCCCCCAAATAGTTATTCAAAAATAATATCCATGAGCATTGTTATAATTGTTTTGAAAACAGGAAACAGAAGAAGCACGAACCACGTCTTCTCCCTTGAAAATCCCTGAAGCAACGGGCGCCGGTAGCAACCTTCAAGTCCTACCTGAAACTGTGAGGTGGCCTCCCCCGTGAAGGGGAGGTCAGTACTTGGAAATATTTGACAAGTACAATAGCAACTATACTAAGTATAATCAACGTTTTAATTTCCGAGACCCCCGACTTAGGGTACTATTATATTATAGGCCATAACCCTCGGTTACCCTTTCTTACCTTTAATTGTACTTACTTCACATAAAGTCAAGTAGTCGGCCCATAGGCCCATATTCATTTAGAATTCACCGTTCACATTCCCCCGTGACCGCGAGTCACGATAACCCCGTGGGGTCCCATCGAGCCCCAATTGTATAGCATGGGCTCGGCCCAACTACATCTCTATACAATCCTCTAACTCGATGTATCATATCAAAATTTGTATGGCAAGGGCTCGGCCCAACTACGTTTCCATATCAACCATAACTTCGTGGCAAGGGCTCGGCCCAACTACGTTTCCACGGAGGTCAAATATACATGGCAAGGGCTCGGCCCAACTACGTTTCCACGGAGGTCACATATACATGGCAAGGGCTCGGCCCAACTACGTTTCCATGCTAATCATATTACATGGCATGGGCTCGACCCAACTATGTCTCCATGTCATCCTAGAGTCCAACTCTAATTATTTTCATAATCACATTCTCAAGCAAGTCCTATGCCTAGAATCAATTTTCGGAGGTGGCCGTTAGGCCCCCTATCACATCTTAGTGTTCATACTATTCCTCCTTAAGTATCTTTTGAGACTACTTAAGGCATATCTATTCACAATCCTACCTCTTAGGATTTGTTTCATCAATTATTTATATAAATTCCCCGACTAGTTATTTTGATACTAATTGGATAATCTTAGAACATGTCAAGTTCCTAATTCCCAATTGGCATTTCATTTCCATTGATTCCTCAATCCAAGTATAGTTTGATCTCAATATCAAAAATATCACTTTAATCCATTCATGAATTTCATACATGAAGTAAAGTATATTTTATCACAATGTCATCTTAGTAATTCCATTAACATGCCATTCCATTCATTTCACATAATCATACACAATTATTCTAAATTTGTATATCATGCTTCACTTACTCATATTCATATTATTTTCATTTAGACATTATTAATCTTTAATAGTCCATGAAAATCCCATCTAATTACTTTAGGCATTCTTATGAAATTAACTCACTAATTATAAGCAATATAGTCGGCCATCCTCACCTCGTGATGTGCTACAATAGTTGCCTTTGTTACGCCCCTCGATCAATCCCCGTTCTAGGCCGATTGAAAGGCAAAACTGGACTGCCTAGGCAAATGCCGGGCGGCTTTCGTGGTCTGCAACTGCGACTAGCTCCTTTGAAGTAGCGGTTTCCGGCGATTTCGACTCCTATCGATTTGCCAACCCTCCTAAGTTAATTACCACCACTTTATATCAATATTCTACACTTTTAAACGTGTAGAACTCATGGTTTAATCCACCATATGATTTCTTAAAAATCATACAATAATAAAACTAGTTAAAGATTGTTTATTGAGTTCTTACCTCAAAAACAACCCTCTTCTCTTTGGATTCTCTTCCTTGCTG